AAGACTGAATATAGGACAGTGGCGAGTTATCAGGGAAACTGAGGCACGGTGCTCTAAGAGAAAACTTACGAAGCAACTTTTCCTATTATTTCAAAAGTCCTCGTGACCTAGGCAAAACTTAGAAGTAAAACTGTAAGAACTGAAACTTGTGATCAGAGCTTAGTTTAGAAATAGGTTGCTTACCCGTCATTTACAAATATATAAAACACTTGTTAACAGAAAGGGGGTGTCCTTTCCCCTGAGGACACCTGCATTCTCTCTTGAATGTGTCTTTTTCTTTTTTCTCTCTGATAAACTTTAAACCTCTCTCTGTGTCTCACTCTGAATTCCCTTCTGTGCGAGCCAAGGGCTCACGGAACAACTATACCTCATGCCACCCGGCAGCAATATGACAAAAGTAAAAGGATACCGCAGATGTAATTACGGCCCCTGATGAATTGACATTAAGTGAATCAAAAGGGATGATCTTAGGTGAGCCTGACTTGATCACATGCATCTATCAGAGATGCAAGCTGGAGAGACCCTCCCACTGGGCTTGAAGACGCAACTGCCATGTTGGGGGAGGGCCACGTGGTCAGAAAAGGCAGGCAGCCTCAGTCCTATACCGCAAGAAGCTGAATTCTGCCAAGGACCAGTGAGCTGGGAAAGGATTCCCAGCCTGCAGATGCAAATACCATGGCTTGAGGGGCTGCAGGATGGCGGCCTGGAGACCCTGACTGAGGACCCAGCTGAGCCATGCAGCCAGGACTCTCGACCCATGGAAGCTCTGAGGTAGGAAACATGGTTGATGTAAATTGCTAAATCTGTGGTCATTTGTTACCCGACAACAGAAAGCCTGTCGGGAGCCATAATCTAACAGGGGCCAGTTCTGAAGCTATCTGAAGCGTACCCACTTCACCAGGCAGACAGAGCCACTGGTGAAAACCATGGAATTGGCAGAGCCCCATGGAAGGGAAGGCAGAGGGACTTCAGATGGCCCTGGAAAAAACAGCAATGTATGCTCCTCATGGCATTAAGTTTCATGATATGTTTATCCCGGAGGTTTGTTAAAATTTTATCCGTTAAACACTCTGTTTTGAATGAAACCCAATTCTATGGATCAACCGAAACGAGACATGACGTCCAAAGGTCATTAGTTAATGATCTTCTTTTAAACAATCCTCTAACCAAAATAAGGCAGATTTCTGCTTCTCTCCCCTCGCCCAGCTGAGACAATACTTGTTTCACCCTTGTATGAGAACGTAAAGAAATCTTTCCCAGAACTGAACATAGCAGGACAGGTCATTCCAGAGAAACATTAAACAGTTTAATTATTTTGTAGAAAATAGTTTCACTATTCCACCTTTTCCTCGTAGAAGCACTAGAGATATTAAATCATATAGACAAGTTATTTTTATAGTGAAAATCGATAATTATGTTGGATATAAAATTAATGATAGAATACGGTGGGCACTAGAGGGAAACTAGTATGCAGAATTTAGATTGGTTTGACCCATTTTTACCATATACTGGTGTTTATGATAAGAATTTTGCTAGATGGTTTTGGATAAACGGACACAGGATCAGAGCCAGTGAGGTTTCCACCTGGGAGCAGATAAAGCCTAGTGAACCTCTGATTATGTCTGAAAAGGCTAAAATTCTGTGGGAACAAAAAAAGAAAGTATGTGTGAAGCGGGACACAAGATATGGTGTTGGTTAATAGATAGTATATAAATCATAGATGATATAAAGTATAAGTAAGATAAATATTAGAAATAGAAAAAATTATAGATATAAAAATTTAAATAAAGTATAGAATAAGATTTATAAGATAGAATAGAGAAGTTAAGATGGAATAGAGAAGTTAAGAAACATCCCTTAAAGGAAGTAAAAGACTTGCCTTGTGTCAAGCAGGTTTCACACCTTAGGGGCATAAGCTAATATTTGCTGCTATAGTTGTAAAATATTAAATAGATACATAAGCAATATAAAGTTAAAGGTTAGCATAAATAATAGACATTTTTGTTTAGACCATTAAAGATTAAAAATCAACTGAAGGGGTTTTGGATATCACATGTTGTTTTAAATTGTAACTAGTTGGAAAAATATACGTGTAATGTTAAGATTATGCCAAAAACAGCATTATAAATATAGCCTCATGAGCAATAAAGTTTTGCAGTGATTTCCATCCTCATCGAAGGTGTGTGGTCTCTGTCTCTCGCCGCTTCTCTCACCTCCCCTTCGGGCCGACCCCACTGGAGCAGGTCTCTGACAAAAGCCAATATACCAAGTCTTCCCAAAAGTTCTTCTCTTACATTTTAGGATTCCTGCTCCCCTTCCCCACTTCATCTCCATCTCCACAGCACAGACTCCAGAATGAGCTTTGAAAACACCAAGGGGGGGAGGGGAAGGGAGATGGGTTTAATGGTAGTAAACATCTGTCTGGGGACAGGGAGACACCCCTTATCAACTTGCCTGACGAAGCATATTTGTATACCTAATCCTTAACTGTACCCCACAATATCATAATAAAAAATATTGATTATGAAAAAAAAAAATCCAAGTGTATTTTCACAAAGGCTTTAATAAAAAGTTGTTAGAAGTAATAAAAATATTTACCTTAAAAAAAAAAGACCACAAAACCATAATAAAAAATATTGATTTAAAAAAAAAAAAAGAAAAAAAAAGAAAACACCAAGTAGGCCAGGTGAGGTGGCTCACGCCTATAATCCCAGCACTTTGGGAGGCTGAGGTGAAAGGATTGTCTGAGTCCATGGGTTCCAGACCAGCCTGGGCAACTTGGTGAGACCCCATCTCTACAATAAGTCAAAAAATTAGCCGGGTGTGTTGGCGTGTGCCTGTAGTTCCAGGTACTTGAAAGGCTGGAAGGATTGCCTGAGTCCAGCAGGTTGAGGCTGTGGTGGCCAGGAGCGTGCCACTGCCCTCCACCTGGGTGACAGAGTGAGACTCCTACTCAAAGAAAAAAAAAAGAAAAAAAAAAAAACACCAAGTAGATTATTTGAAATCCAGGTTGCAGAAAAGCTCGGTGCTATGAGAAATGAGGCGTACTCAGCTTCCCTGGCCCATTATTCCCCAGAATGTTCACTGACAGGACACAGGCAAACATCCTACAATTGGGCAAGCATGGCAAAAATATAAGAAGGATCTCACAGCTTTGCCTTCTGAGGTTCTCAGACACTATTTTATATCAGAAAGGATGGCGTTTCCAAGGCTTCCTTAGTATAAACTGGGAGTTTGTTTTTGTACAAGACAGCAAGGAAGTTTAAACTACCATAGCAATGTTACACGTTGTAGCTGCTCCTATAGAAAAAAAAGCTTCCATGACAGTGAAATAAAATATGAAACTCAAGGATGTTTAGAGAGGAGACAATGTCTTGAAGAGTGCTCTACAGAATTAAAATGTGTTAGCTGGGTACAATGGTACACGCCTACAGGTACTCAGGGGGCTTAGGCAGGAGGATCACTTGAGGCCAGGAGTTTGAGCCTGGGCAATGTTGTGAGACTGTCTCTACAAATTAAAAAAAAGGCAGCCGGGTGTGGTGGCACATGCCCGTAGTCCTAGCTACTAGATAGGCTAAGGTGAGAGGATCCCTTGAGCCTAAAAGTTTGAGACTGCAGTGACCTGTGATCGTGCCACTGCACCCCAGCCTGGGTGACATTAACATAAACCAGCTCTAACAAACTTTTT